CGTAAAAATACTATAAATCATGATAATTGACAACATAAAATCTGTTTTGAAAAAAATACAAAAAATTCCACTGATTCTTGAAGTGAATCTATCGTAAAAATACTATAAATGATGATAATTGACAATATAAAATATTTCAAAAATGTTGTATGTGGGTAGTCTTATTATGCCTTAAATAGCGTCAAAGAAAGTACATGTTTGTGATAAAAAAAACTTATTCTTTTATCCACGCAAACAATCGTTTCAAAAACTCGGTTATTAGCCCCCAAAATATACCATTTATATTATTGGGTCCGTGCATAGCACGGGCAACATTATCTAGTATATATATAAAGCAAATTCTTACTTCTCTCTTAGTAGATTTTTCACATGTTCTTGTTTTATTTGCTTTTTAATTATCCTAATTAGGAAACAAATAAACTTGAAATATTTTTTTTTTTCAATCTAATGTTTTGAAGCAAGCAAGGAGGACCCATAAATCTACTTGTCAACTACAAGTGAACCCCACATGAGTTGTGTTGGTTATCTCTGGTAAGGAGCTCAGTATTTATTTTGACAGAATTTAATAATTTTAGTTTAAATATTATATTTATTTATTTTAAAATTATTTAATTGAAATCAATTCATCATTCTTTAGAAAAATAAAAATTAATATAATTTTTTTTATTTAGATAAAAGATCATGGAGGACACAAATTAGAATAAAGCTTAGTAGATAATAACGTGTTATCTTGTTTATTCTTTTATATTTGTAGTTGTAGTATTTCTTTTGTAATTTTTGGCCCTTCCATTTTTGTTACCATCAATTGTTTTTTTGTCCTTTGTATAGAATGTTTTATCGTGTTGCTTTCTACAATATCTTATTGTGATTTCTTTACTTTCATTATTTTCTTTTTCTTACCTACTTCGATATGTTTTTTTCTTGAGTAGATAATCTATCGAAAACTATAAAATTACATTAGATATGTTGTTATTGTTGTTACATTGTTACTTTGAGGTGGAACATAATGTTGAATTGTTCTATAATTAGAGGTCTCGAGATCGGACCTTGAATGTGAATTTATTTTTGTTAAAAAGTGATTACGCTCTATGATAAATATTTCACCACAAATTTGAATTAAATTGGATTTCAAAAAGGATACCAAACACTAAATGCAAAACAAAAAAAAAATACAATTGAATTGATACAAGGTCAAAATACAATTTCCTATTGTTTTTTCAATCAATATTAAGACTTGACTAAATTTAAATTTATCGAAAACTACCACACTAAAAATAAAATATTCTCTAACATAAACAACTCTAGCATAATCTCTTTTTTCTCTTATCTAATAACTCAAGAGGTACTTTCATATAAATAATAAATTAGTTATTTCATATAAATGGAATAAATAGTGGGATAACTAATCCCACAAAATATTTAGAATGGTTGTGTTGGTGATAAACACCTGCCTCCATATTGGACAATAGATGTAAAAATCAATTAATAGGCTCATTTGGCATGATGCATTAGAAATAATTAATTCGGAGATTAATTTTAAGATGAATTTATCTTATATTTGATTCAAATAAAATTATGAAATAACATATCTCAAAATTATAACATTATTTTATCCCACATTATGAATAAAATAATAATCTCAAAATAATTAATTTCGAGATAATTAATTCCCAAACCAAACGAACCCTTAAAGAAATTATTTGACATGACATCATTTTCACTCTTCAAAAGATAAGACATTTCTCATAATCATACTCTTATCACATCGTACAACTCACAACATTTAAAAATTCAACTTTATACTACCATTTGTAAATTACTACAATTTCCAAAATGGTATAATTATTAATTACACATGTGTGATTATTAAAATGATTATATATCATTGTTCTATATATAGTAGGTATATTGATTATCCTTTTAGACAATAATCATTAAAAAAGAGACTTTAGGACCAAGGCAAGTTAGATCATTACACATTAGATTAGGGGTGTGCAAAAACCGAACCGACCGATAAACCGAACCGAAAAAAGTGTTATTGGTTTATTGTTATTGGGTTATTGGGATAACGGTTATTTAATGGTTTTACAAAAAAAAAATTATTGGGTTATCGGTTTGTTATTGGTTTTTAATATTGGGTTATTGGGTTAACCGATAACCCATTAAGAATATAATAATTTACTATTTTAATTTTTAGTTATACATATATATAATATATTAAAAAATATATTAATATAATTAGTAGTATATTAGACTAAAAATATAAAACCCTACGCAAC